TTTTGGTACTTGCATTGTCTTGCTTTGTACTGCAGGCCTGGGGAGCAGCAAGAAGAGTTTCCAAAGATGACTGGTTGGAATGGTTAAGAAGGCTGAGTTTGGAGCTGCTGAAAGATTCCTCCTCACCATCCTTGCGCTCATGCTGGGCTCTGGCTCAAGCATATAATCCCATGGCTCGGTAGAGTAATCCTGGTTTTTTCATATCACTTGAAATGGCAGTTGCAAGCCAGCTATTATAAGGAGAAAGTTACTTAAAAGCTCTTAGGCTCCATAAATAGGTCTTGCTATGGGACAAATCAAATAGCTGGCTGATTTTATTTCCACCCTTCCCAATTGGCTGCTTCATGATGTGCACAAAATCTTTCGGTGGAATTCTGCATATTAGTCTAGAAATAACATAAGGCCCATACAGTGAAGCTGGAAAAACAGCAGAATATGAAATAGCTTTGAGGATCTACTGTGGGTGAAGAAAAATGCCTGTGAGTGGAATAAACAGCAGTTGTTTATTTCTTTTGCAACCAGCATGTCTGGAGAACTTTGAATTTCTGTAAGCAGTTGCCTCTTTGTCTGCCCTGGATTGTAGTACTTATGAATCTGACTAATACTGTTTAAAAACTGCTCATTCCTGGTTTAATTTTGTCTTAATGTGAGTTTTATGGGTTTTTGAAATAGAAGGGCAAACAGCATGATGAAAAGTCAGCGATTCCTAGGTAGCAGAGGTAATGCTGGCATCCTCTACACATCTCAAACCCATCCCATAATATTGTGTAGAATCCCAGAATGGTCTGGGTTGGAAGGGACCTTTAAAGGTTACTTAGTCCAACCCCCCTGCACTGAGCAGGGACATCTGCAACTAGAGCAGGTTGCTCAGAGCCCTCTCCAACCTGACCTTCAGTGTTTCCAGGGCTGGTTGGCATTTCTCCCCAGTACTAGCAGTGATGAGGGCTGTCACTGAATCACCTTGTATCACTTTTCCTCCTTCTCAAGCTTTGCCACTAATGCAAACTCCAGCTATTGCAGTCCTCTAGTGAGCACAGAAAACAAAAACGTGGCATGTGTGTCCAGAGAAATGTGCAATCATCTTTTTCACTACATTTGCTTGTCATCTAAGACAGACTAGACCTTGTTCTTCATAGTGGAAGAGGAGAGTATCCTTGCTGCTATGAAGAGTTTGTTCTAGCCTAAAATTCTTGCTAGAATACGGTAGGGCAATAATTCTACTACTGCAGTATCTCATCCTATTGTATATATTTTTTTTAAAATACAGGTTTCACTAAGTGTTTGGTACAGAAGTTAGCTTTATAAAAGCTAATCACTATTGCAGGTAAACATGTAAATGCATTTTGTAGCTCTTTTCTCTGAATATGAGGGCAAGTCCACTGTCAAATAGACTTTTTCTCATGAATAATGAATCTCCACCTCTGACTCCCTTTTGTTTTCCTCCTCAGAGATCTCTTCAATGCTGCTTTTGTTTCATGCTGGTCTGAACTGAATGAAGACCAACAGGATGAGCTGATCCGAAGCATTGAATTGGCCCTGACTTCTCAGGACATTGCAGAAGTCACTCAGACACTGCTGAACTTGGCAGAATTCATGGAACACAGTGACAAGGTAGAGATGCTGTTGGGCAACTCTTTTCTAATGCTGGCTGACGTCTAGTTTATGAGAAGAGCATGAGAGCATGAAGAGTTCATGGGTCCTTTTCTTTTTATACTCATTCTGCTTTTGATGTATGTGCTTCTACCCAGGGGCCACTGCCTTTGAGAGATGACAATGGCATTGTCCTCCTGGGGGAAAGAGCTGCAAAATGTCGAGCGTATGCCAAGGCCCTTCACTACAAGGAGCTGGAATTTCAAAAGGGTCCCACCCCGGCCATTCTGGAGTCTCTCATCAGGTAGGACCATGACTGATGAGATTTCTGCTTGTACATCAGAGTATGTTATTAGCTGCTGGGTTCTGTCCTGTTATGTGGTTAAAATTGTGATAGAAGCTATAGGAAGCTGTGCAGGAATAAGTGGAGTCTTCTGATTTCTACCTCTTGCCCTTCAAGTTCAATATGGGATGTCGTGGAGTGGCTGTAAGTTAGATGAGAGTTTTCTACACCTGCTTGTAAATAAGCCAGAAAAGCTGGAGTTCTTAATTTTTTTCATCACATTTTGCTCATCTATGTGAGGGAGATCTCATTCTTCATCTATCAAGTAGAACATATTACAACAAGAGTGTATTGTTTCCTGAGCTTTGTCAACAAGAAATATGTTACCCTGATGTACCTGCACAGGATTTGGTACTGAACTGAACTACATGTTTTAAAACATGAAGCTCCATTTCATATCACAGAAATGTTATCTTTACCATTTGACATGGACTAAATAATTTTGGTGGAGCAAAAACTTAGCTTTGTCTGTATTTTGTCTGAATTTTTCAGCCCTCCTAATTCCTTGGACTTTTGCTTTCCTGGGTTTTCCCCTATTTTATTTTTTCATCCTTTGTTGTCTCTTGTTTTTTTGAGAAAAATGTAGAATTCAGTGTATTCCTTTTCCTGGACTCAGTCACTTGTGCAGCTGTTTCTTTGTGTATAAAAAAGCAAGTTAAGGAGCAAAGACTTGAAGTAAAGTAAGATTACAAATGAAAGACAATTTATTAGAAATTAAAAAGTTTAGAAACCTTTAAAAATTCGTTTTATAGACCACAGTTAAAATAGTTCCAGCTATAGTTCCACACAGTTGAAATGTACACTATGCATAGTCAGACATGTCAGGTAATTCCCAAGGCACCTTAATCTCCCATTTCACACAAGTCTGAACAATTTAAATTAGATTCAAACTCTTTAAGGTGAATAAAAATAGATATATTAACTATAACTATCTTTCCCAGCATATTCAAACAGCAGTATGGCTACAGGAGGAGTCTTTTGCTTTTTTAACTGTTATTTTTAACACTGTGTTATCTAAGGGAAAAACATACTGGGCTTTGACATAATCTCTGCAGGTAACTTGTAATTGGGGTATTCTTCAGAACAGATTTTAATTGTCCTCAGAGCAATGTGCTAGCAAACTTCCCCTTAAGTTTGAGTAAGCTTTGGCACTTCTGGATTCTCTGGAGTGTCCTACTGGTTTGCTCATGGATACAATGGTTTTTTAAGTGTTGGAGCTGAGCTTTTTGGCTTTGTGGCTGAGTCTGTTTGTTTTTGATAGCCTGCTGTTCTCTCTGAGGCTTACTGACATAGTACATGTTCTAACCTGAACATAATTTCATGGCAGCTGAGGAAGTTGCTTTCTAGTTTATCAACTTCTAGGTGATCTGTGGATAGCAATAAACATTACAGACCATACAGGACAAATCCTTCCTCCAGGGTTACTGTCTGCTGGGTGCAGCCCTTTGTGGAGACTTATTTGAGGCAGCAGCAGGAGATGGCAGCAAAACTTCAGGAGAGAACCTGGGGCAATACTCATTAATTGAAACCTTTTGAGCTTTATCTCCTCTTGCAGGAATGTAAGCCACTTACTATATGCCAAAGAAAGCTGCATGAGGGGCACTTCTGATTGATTCCTCTGGTTTGAAATGAGTCATTTTTGTCATTTGACTCCCTTGTGGAAGATGTTACTCAGCAATGCTTGCTCTAGACACTGAAAGAAAGGCAGCAAGGAGGCTTTCTGTTTTCAGTCCTTACCTGGCTGGTTAGTACTAAGGCAACCAACTAGTCATAATGCTAGTGAAAGCACACCAGGAGGTTTTCTGAAGGTGCTGTAAGTGCTCTCTTCTAACCCTTTCTAACATGGTATTTTTCCCTTTGGAAAGAGCTTAAGAGGAGGAGATAATTTTGAGTCCTGATAACACTAGTGGCTGGTGCTTAGTGTGCCTTTGTGTGTGTACGTAGCCAGTATGTCGCTGTTGCACGTATTAGATGAAATGAACAATATTTGGCTGATTTTGAGCTGTCCATGGCCCACCTGTGCAGTGGCATCATGTAGCTGTACAATCAAATCCTCCTGCCCTCTAGGGTTTGAAATCCTCTGGCCGGATCTTCATCTCAACTCTCTTCAGTGAATAGGTTGACCCGTGCCAGCCGTACCAGGTGATGCCATCCATGTTCTTGGTGTGCTCTCCTTTGCGGTAGTAAACCCCGTTCAGGTTGGAATCTGTGCAGCAGTTGTACCAATATCCACCTTTTCAGAAACAAAAGAGGAATATGAGCCATTTACTTAAAACAGGTATGGTTTATATCAATAAGGATCAGTGCTCTTTCTGGAGGAGAGTGACCAGAAGGCAGCATATAATGCCTGGAGCCTGTGGCCCCAGTAGTTGGGATTGCAGGTAAATTCAAAACTTGACATAGATTCCAAACACATCAAGGCTTTACAGTTCCATAGTCAAATTAGTCCAGTAGCTTTTCATTTAGCTGCTCATTCCTTTTAAAATATTTCCCTGATGCGTTTCTGTCTCTGAGGCAGAGTTAGCATAGCAAACAACTTTTGGTTCTTAGCTTGGGCATCTTAGGTTATTTTAAAAAGTTTCTGGACCCTGCAAATAAGCTGCACTGTTTTGTTGAGACAGAGACCAATGATTTTGTTTGCACATTGTGTGGGGATGCAGTGGGGAAATTAAAAATGAAGGCAACAGACAGTGAAGACAGTTATATTTGTGATAGACCTCATATAAAGATAATAAACTGAATGAAGAGAGTAACCTCATTAGAGGCTATTAATACAGAGTAGGGATAAAGATTAGAATTCAGAACCTTGAGGTATATGTAGGGTAATAAAGGAGAATAATTACAAGTCCCTAATACTAGAACTTGAAACTTCATAAAAACATTAGAAAAAATAAACCCCCTATAGATATACAGGGATAACTTCCTGTGTCACTGAATTGCATCAACATCTGCAGGAGTCTGGCAGATTGTCAGGTAGGATCACAGTATGTGTAGGTGAGGACATACACTAAACCATCTGAAGAGCACAGATGTCTGCAACATACAGCGTGGCTCTGTGTAAATCAGCTTTAACTGCCAGATCTCCCACAGAACCCAGCAGTGTGTGTTACAGAACATGTCACCTCTGCCTTGATCTGCCCTCCAGATGCTGCTTGGTAGTGACTTGGGAAGTGGGAGTCTTGGGCTCTCACAGGTTACCCAGGCAGCTCTCTCAGGACAGGAGGGTGTTTCCTGTGTGCTTTACCTTTACGGAACTGGGCACAGTCATCCACACACTTGTCATTGTCCTTGTCCTTCGTGCTGAAGGCTGTGTTGTTGTGGTACCTTAGGGAGTCTCGCCCTGTGTTGCCAGAGTAGTTGCCCACAAACAGGCGGTAGCTGTTTAATTCGTTGCTCAGGGTGAATTGCTTATACTGGGCATAACGTGTGTTGCCTTCCCAGTCCTGCCACACAACAGTGAAGAATAAATAGGTCCTGTTAGAACAGTTACAAAAAGACTCCACCATCTCTGGTTATATACAACACATGTTGCTTATCTTTTCTCAGTCCCAGATTTTTGACAAGTTTCTTTCTGTCTTGGACAGTCTGTAGAAACTGATGTCTTAAGGCAAGGAAACTTCCTAGAGCAAAGCATCATATTCCCAAGTCTTATTCAACAGTATGTGTGGAAACTGGGTGTGCAGCTCTTGCATTCAGCATCCTTGTCTCAGTGTGCTGCCTCAAGTGCTTTTTTTTCTTCTCTGAAACACTGAATTTTAGATAGAATTTTAGAGCCTTTCAGCTCACTCTTTCTGTTATATGTATCCTGTCCCTCAAAGCTATTGTACCAGCCACAAACTTGTCTAAATCCAACCCAAGCCTTTCACAGGCTGTAGAAGTTATTTTGGGACAATAGAATGCAAACTCTTTTGGATGCAGGCTAGAAGTGCTGCAAAAGGAAAAGACTCAGTCTTTGAGACTTTTTGGGGCATCTCTGTGAATCTTTAAATCTGAGGTGGTCAGCAGTTTGATCACTGTGTGCAGTGGGTTCCACAGGATTCTCTAGAGCCCCATGCATTCCCTAAGGCATAATCTATATGATATGCAGACAGAAGTTTGTCCTGCTGACCTTGCACAGTGGAGAGCATAATTCCATCCTGTCCATGAAAGTATCACTAGGTCTGTCCTACCTCATTCTCCTCTGATAAAGCATGCAAATTCTTTGGGCCTTCTACAGAGACAGGAGATGGTTTCTGCTACTAGAGTATCACTGTACAAAAAGCCTGTAGCTGCTGCAGTTGAGGTTGTTGGTTACCTCCAGCTCCACTCGCAGAACCGTGGGGCGTCTCGACAGTCGGTAGATGTTTTCATTTCCCAGCCAAAAGTCTCCCCGAATATTGCCAAATCCATCCCTGTACTGTTTCCAGTCCCTATTGAAAGATGTCAAACCAACTTTACGTCTTTGGATGATAGTCCAGCCACCTCCATCAGTCTCCATGTCACAGAACACCTAGAAGAGGAGAAAATAGGCAGGGTTTACTTCTCAGTAGACTTAGGAAGATAAAATTCTCTTAAGACAAGACATTGATGACATTACAGATTTCACCACTTAAATATATTCCTATTTTGTTTAGAAGTAATGGAAAATTATTAAATGAACCCTTTTTCTGTTTTCCCTCTTACATGTACAGTCTTTCCTTCCTTGAAGTTTGCCTGCATAAAGAGACTGATTCAAAGTGCAGGGTATCATAACTCAGTATGTGCTCTTTTCATCTCTCTGGTAGATAAGTAATTCTTAATTATATTTGCAAAGACATGTAACATGCATTTTGTACTTGACATCCTTACCTCCAGATCTGGACTCCCCAAAAATTCATCGGGAGGTAGCTTGTAAACACCAGAGATTCGGTAGTTCCTCTGGTAAAGGGATGAGCAGTCATACACAGCATCTACTTGAATCAGAACCAGAAAGTAAGGATCTGAACAGCAAGAACAAATCCCCTGTCTGTGTGGTATAAAAGCTTAGCTTGGAATACAAGGACTAACTTCCCACAAGTCTGTTTTCCTGAAATATTTTGGTTTTGATCAATGCATACGTTAGAAAATGAGGTTGCAGGACTGGGACTTTGTGGTGGTGAGGTGAGGTGAGACATATCTGTTTTAAATACCTGCTGGGCCAGTCTCTTCTGGGTCTTGCTGTACTGTTTTTTCCAAACCTTTCCTACAGCTCCAAAGAGATTTGTTATGGTAAAACTTTTGTTTAAGACCTCCTGTGAACAGGGCTGTGTCAAAGCAAGCTAAGTAGAACTTTTTGTAGGAATGAGTAAATAGACTTAAGTTTTTCTTTTGCATTTTAATAAAAAACACAAACAAAACCAAACCAAATGAAGTTTGGCAAACCTGCTAATCACAAACAACAGCTTCTTCTAAGGATGTATTAAGCTTGTTGCAGTGAATTTCAGTTTAAGAGAAAAGTCAACAAAAAGGACACTTTCTAGAAGAAAGTGAGTTTACAGGTAGCTGACCTACAAAATGCACCTGCATTCCACATTTTGTACAGGCCTGTGCAATCACTGTGTGCAGTGAAGTTTTCCCTCAGGGAAGAGAAAATTTTGAACAGTTTAACTGTGTTCTGGCTAGGCTTATATAACAGTTTGCATCTTGCATCATCTACAGACTTGAATTTTTGAGAATTACCATTCAAATAACGGATTACTCTGTTACTCTGATTCAGAGATAGTCATAAAGATACGATTCCAAATCTCCAGTAATGCTTGGAGATCATTTATGATTGTTTTACCACCTTCTAGTCCCCTGTCAGCACTGTGAACCCAGAGGATATTGCTGCCAGCACCATTCCCTGACAAAGCCAGCTCCATTTCTTTTTGGATTGGTATTGTAATGCTCAGGAAATTAAATATCAGACAGAGTTCCTCACTGTACAAATACAATACCTGTTCAGTTTTTCCACTCCCTGATAACAGACATCCAGATATTAAAATACAGCTGCATCTGTGGTGTGTCAGAACTAGTTTTGACAGATGAATTTGGACTAGTTTACTCATGCTCACCTGCCCACAGCGGTACTTAGAAGCGGTATTCAGTACACATGCTCACTAATCCCATTAGTGGGACACTAGCCTTAAGAACTAGTCGTTAGTTCAATCTGAGCATTAAGAGGTGTATCTGGGAGCTTGGTGACTCCCTCCTTACCAGCTGAAGTCTGTGTGACCGTCTGAGCTGCCTGGAGTTGCATGATATCAATCTGGTTGTTCATTTCGGAGTATTTGCTCTCGGCATCGACCAGGCGGGACTCCATCTGCTTGGTGCTCCCTTCCAGCTCCATCACCTGCATGACCACGTTCACCCAGTCACCTTCCTGCTTCTTGCTCAGCTCTTGCAGCATCCTGCTCAGGTTGGCTACCTGCAGCTTGAGCTCCTTGATCTCCTCACAGCAGGCTGCCACCTTGGACGGGGCGTTCCCGTTGAGCGTTCTGCGTTTCGGAGGCTTCTGCAGCAGTGCTGGGGAGGTGGCCACAGACACAGTGACAATGCAGAGCCAGGCCAGCTGAGCAGTGGATCTTGCTGGCATTTTTGCTTACAGCAACAAAAAACTTCCAGCTGACTGCGGGTAGTCTGAGTGCAGCTGGGGTAGGTATGAAACTTTCTGCAAGTGCTACAGCAGACTGGTACCTAGCTTTCTTCCAATGAAGTGAGTCTCTGAAGGTGGAGCCTGAAGAAGTCACTTGTTTTTCAGACCCCTCCTGTCAGACTCTATGCACTTTGAAAGTCTGTCTCAAAGCATCTTATATACTATTTTTCTGTTTACCTCCACCCCCCTGAAGCTATGAAGAGCTATCTAGCCCCTCCCAGTTCATCTGTTCATATCAGGTGTTTGCAGGGTGAAACTGGAACAGGTTTCAGCCAAGAAAGGTTGGGGAGAGCAAGAGGGGAAAAAAAAGAAAAAAAGGTATGGGAGAGGGCTAAGAGAGGAGGAGAGTTTTCAGTAATGATTGCCCATTGGATTGTAGCCCTCTCGGTGACTAGTTCTGGCACTCCAATAACGTAAGAGCATTAGAGGTCTGGAATGTGAAAAGGCTGTCCAAACAGGATGAGTTTATAGAAGTTCAAGGAAGGTAACTGCCTAGTAGGTAGCCCTAGCTGCAACAAGTCCTACTCACATGTTCCCCAGCAGCTGCAGGGGTAATCTCTGTGCTTGCAGTATTTCTTTAGTTAAAATATTTTAGCAAATTAATCAGTTCAGCATCTAATCCTCTTCACTGATGTCTCTACACTATCTGTTTTGTAGAATTAAGTGCTCTTCTTGTTGGAGATGAGATATCTGAGGGTAGGATGGAAAGAAGTCTGCAAAATATGTAAGACAAACCCCATGCTTCTGTTCATTCATAGTGGACAAGCAAATGGACGTTAAGTAGTGCTCAAAGACACTCTACTTAAATTTAACAAGAGATGGGTTTCTTTACAGGCAGCGTGATCTAACTCCAGTAATCAGAGGCCAGTTCACTAACAGGACATTGAGAGGAAAATCTGTGTGTAATTACAATGTCCACAGTTACATAAAGTGTAGATTTAAGATTAAATCTTAAATCTTCAGATATTCAGAGTATAGGTCAAGTATCAGCTGGCTGAGATAGCAACTTCCAGTCTCCTCTTTTATATCTTGGAACAGGTGAGAAGTTGATAACAGCTGTTTGATCCTAAAGTAGAACCATTTTCAGCAATGGTGCAGCCTTTTACAAAAATTCTGCAGCTTTTATCCTAGATCCTTAAGGACAAATTGCTGCTCTGTAATTGCTCAAAGGGGGTTCTTGCATTTTCCTGCAAAGTTTCTGATTGAAAAATGGCAGAGATAAGATGCAAATGCAACAATAAATGGCTCATGTATCTGCTCTTGGGGTAAATGCCACAAAAGCTTCTTGGTGTCCAAGAAAACAAAAGAAAGCTAATCTTTCTGCTTTTACAAAGAAAATTAGGACAAACCCAAGTGAGACGTGTTATCCCATCTAGACTTCTTTTGCTGATCCAAAGTGGCTGCAGGATTTCTGCTTAATTAGAAAAGATTAGGAAGGCCTTGATGATCTGACATCCACTTTGAGAGAAATAGGAAGCACGATTTCTTCTTGGTGTATTTTCTCTTCCTCCTTATCTTTGCTACACTTGTTAGATGCTTTGCTTCTGCCTCTGATTTGCACCACAGCTAGCTGATAGTTTTTCTGCTGAACAGTAATGAGAGACCTCACAGGGTGCAGAGATTTAGGAGGATAAATGCATCAAAGCACTGAAGAAGTGGTCTGTGAATACAAATGTTTCATAAACCTAAATTTTCTTAGAAGAAGAAGAAGAGGGGATATATTTAGGAGGAGGTCAGAACTGGACATCTCCAAGTGACACTATGAGTGTCTTGAGTTTTTGCTGAGTGCCTGCCTGTGGGTGCTGTACTTCAGGCAGAACCCCCTGCAGTCTGTAGCATCGGGTGGTGAGGCTATTGTGTGGTATTGGTGACAGATATCTAAGTACAATTTGATTAAAGTACAGGGATACCTCCACAGCAGACTGTAGGCTGCAGTCACATTTTTCTCCTGGACATTCCAGAAACCTTCCAGAGCAAAATTGCTTTTTATACTTCAGACCAGAAAGTGCCACTGCATACAGATGAAAGCCTGACCTTTTTGTTCTGCCTCTAATCCTGTCTGAGCCCTCTTCCAGCTGGAGCTTCTGTCATTCCCAGGGGCAAATTCTTCTCAGGCTTCCTGTGATGAGAAACATGTTTTTGTCAAAGTTGGAACAAAGAATAGGAGAGACCAGACTCTGGCTTCTCCACCCCAAAAAGCCACCCTGCTAACACCCCCATCGTGTTACGTAGGACTTCAATCCATTTTGCTGCTGCTCTCCCTCACCTTTACTCTTCTGTCTTGTACAGTGTATTTCACACACATGTCATGAGGGGCAGATGTGGAAGAGAAGCCACCTGTAGGTCTATGCATTCCCTCTTGATGCAAATTTTGGAAGGATCCAAGACTCAGCCAAACTCTGTTGCACAGAGATGTTACAAAACAGTGTAGAAAGGCCTCTGAATCCCCTCTGAACTGTAATATTTAACTGGAAATGAGACAGCCAGGGTTTTATTTGGGGATTCAGCCTCTGATTTGTGTATCCTAATGCAAGCCATATTTCCTTTACATACTTTGATTTATCTGTGTTAAAACAGAGAGAATACTTCTTAGTTCTCTCACTTTGTTCTGTGACAACAGACATATTATGCAGGAATGGAAAAGAGCACAAATCTTCCCATCTGTCATTACTTTTGAGGAAGCATTAAGAGGGATTTGGGCAGACAGATCTCTCTTGGCAGAGACCTTAGCCTTAATAGAATTTGACTTCTTTATGGGTATTTGAAAGATGAATCTTTCCCTGTTGCATGGAGATCTGAGTGTAGTCACTTAGGCAGCAATAGCTACTGATGCTGGTCATTGCCAGAGTAGATCAGCTGTAGAATTTGACAGTCTGTAGGAAACTTCCACTGTTATGTACTGGTGTACTTACAACTTGAATTCAGGATCCTCTTACATTTTGGAAAGAAAAAAAGTTTTGGGGATAGCTAGGGAGAAGCTTGTTCTGTGGTTATTGAGTGAGTCCTAGTTCTGTTTTTTTTTTTCCTTTCTCCCAGTATTGATAGAGAAACTTAGTATTACTTATTCTCACATCCATTGCCCTAGTTTTCCTTAACTATATTTTGTATGTGGAAATATTCTGCTAAATGGTAGCTGGAAAGGTGAGATCCTAAAGTCAAGAACATGAGAAAAGTCCTTTTTTACTTTATTAACAATGCAGAAGGATTGGGAGAATCTAAACATGGTTGCAGTCTGCTTATAATGTTGGTCGATGTTACCAAATTCAAGTGCATTAGTATTACTTGATTAGAAGCAGATATTTCTTGTCCCTGGAGGGCCAGATTAAATGAGAGGTCTGGGAAGCTGTTCTGGCAGGTGTATGTGAAGCTGAGACAAGAAGGAAAAGCTCAGTGCCCTGTAGCTATTTATTTAGTAGCCAGTCATTGCAAAAACCTTAACAGGCATCCGGCAAACGCTTAGAATCCAGCATTCCTGGTGCTTGCTGGGATGGCAAAGCTGGCACATCACAGGGGTCCACGCTGTGGTGAAGCTCACTAAAATACTATTTTCCCCTCCCAGGACCTGTGAAACTCGTCACCTCTGCCTTTGGAGATGCTCCTAAATGGTCTAACATTCCCTCTGCTGTAGCTTCACAGTCATGACTGTAAATTCAAATTTACAATTTGAACCCTAGTAAATTCAAATAAAACCATCTACTGCAAATAGTTACTGTACATCTCTGAAGTTATATAGGAACAGGTGGAACAAGTGCAAGGGCTTGATGAGAAACAAACCACTGACACTTCCTACAACCAGTTGTGATTTGTTTTTTATTTAAAGCATCCTTTCTTTGCATAACCAACACAGAAAGACTCTGTCTCTGTGTTTCAGCTCTTTCTGCTCAATGCCTTTGTTGGCAATTCTTTCCTTCTCTGCCTTCACTGAGTCTGGTTAATAATAGCTGGGGAAAAACCTTTTGCAGCCTGAGTAGCAGCGTGAGCTAAGAATCCCATTGTAAAGGTTTTTACTGCTTTTCCTTTCAAACCTCATGAATGTTTTTATTTCGTTTGCAAGTATATCAAGATTGGGAATTTGGCCAGTTAGGATGCCTGTGAGCGATGTGGTGCTCCCTTGCTGTGAGAGGCTGGAGGGGCTGCTGTGCTGGTCTGTGAGAGGTCAATCATCACAACTGTTTATTGAAAACAGCTCTTTTTGCTGGTATTGGTTTCTCAAGTGTCCTTGTTCCCAGTATGGGGATAAGTTTTAGTGCCATGAGATGGAAATGCATTGGGTTTTGTTGTTTGGGGAGCAATTGATTTGGTTTGGAGGTTTGTTTAATCAAGGACTCAGGGATGCCTGAACACAAATAAACTGTAACATTGGGGAAACTCTCCAACAAAGCCAATCCCTTGTGCCAGAGGATTATCTGTTCCCTAAAGTATCCACAAAGTAGCAGTGTCTTCCACTTCTAATCCCAGAAGCAGGATCTCAGTATTTCAGAAGGAAAAACAAGCTTGACTTAGGTTGGTAAAATCTGGCACATAGAGCTGCTTTTTAAGCAAACCATGGGGAGACTTAAATAGAGAGTTTGGCTTTTTGTCTGGGCTTTCTCTACCAAATTTTGAGATGCTTTCTGGCAATATGAAATGCATGTGTTCCCTCAAAGACAGACTTGGGTCCTCCTGAAAAGGCTCTGGTAAAAACCAGTTCTTCATTTTTAAGGGAAGATAGGGAAGGGTCCAGTCTCTTACTTATGAGTTCTTCAAAATCTAATATATTTTGAGTGACAGAGAATATTGTTAAAGACCCTCAAAGATAAGGGAAGACTGGAAAGCTCCCAGGACTCTATAAAAGAGATTATTTCTAGTAAATGTTAGACATTTATGCCTGAGGTCTGTGCAGAAGAAAAGCTCATCAGCTGAGTGCTGTTTGAAGACAGTAAAGTTGTTTTTTGTTCCCA